TCCTTAATTCACCGGCCCCACCTTGGTGCTCAATCTTTCCCTACTGGAATTATCATCACATTGCTCATGGTTACCACTCTTCTTTTAAAACCCTTCAATAAAGATTTTTTAAAATCCTCAACATAGCACACAAGATCTCTGCTTACCTCTCTAAGTCTCATAACCTACACCACCATGAATTCGCAGCCTAGAGTAAGTATCCTTCCTCCTCTGCCTAATCACTGTACCCAACTTTAAAGATTCATCTTTTCCATTTTGAGAGAGATTGAAACACTCTTCTCTCTTCTACTCCCACTGTACACATACCTTTAAATCATATCACAAGTGATTTACTAAGCAAATGCCAGGCTGGGAATATAAAGTGAACAAAACACAGTTTTTGAGTTAAAGAAACTTACAACGGAGGCAGAAAAGTAGTTAATTGCCATATATATAGTTTGATACCTTTTTTTAAGCTAAGATCTGAGTGACTGTTATATGCCAGGCTAAGAACTTGCTATGTATTATCTCATTTAATTTTTATTTAATTTTCCAATAACTTTAGAGTCCTACTTTACAGAGAAGGAAACAAGAAAAAGTTCTGTTACTTGCCCAAGGTTCAGTTGAGTTTTAGGGATGTGAATCTAGGCCTGACTCCAAAATCTAAGCTCCTAATCACCATGCCTTCTATTCCTACTGTTGCAGCATTTAACTCACTTTTCCTAGTGCTTGACATACAGCAGGCACAAGACACATACTTGTTAAATGAATGAACTTGGGTGTTGAAGTCCTAAGCTAGTAACATCATCAACACTACTGCTTTAACTAATAGTGTTCTTGTGTCAAAGAGTTCAAAAGCTCTGAGAAAGTAACATGTGAAAAGATCGATGTCCCAAGTTATTCATCATGTCATGGTTTATGATAGCAAAATATTGAAAATAAATGTCTATCAGAAGGGGACATGTTAAACAAATCACAGCCTATCCATATATAGTTACAGGCCACTTAATGGAGATATGTTCTGAGAAATGAGGTTAAGCAATTCTGTCATTGGGTGCTTACACAAACTTAGATGGCATAGCCTACTACACACCTAGGCTATATGGTTTAGCCTATTGCTCCTAGGTTATAAACCTGCACCACATGTTACTGTACTGATTACTATAGGTGACTGTAACACAATGGTATTTGTATGTCTAAACATAGGAAAGGTACAGTAAAAATATGTTAAAAGATTAAAAATAGTACACCTGTATAGGGTTCTTATATAAGGGGCCCTGATTGACCCTTATCCATGAGGTTCATCAATTATACTTTGGAAAATACTGACCTAGTACAATGCTATATGTCCAGTAATTACTGATCACATTTTGCAAAAGTTCATTTATTAAATGACAAATGTACACACACACAAAAGCTACCTAGGTGATTCTGATTCCCAAGTCTGAAAATTCTAGAAGGAAGAATTATGGACTAGATGGTTAAGAAAGACTTCTTTCTTCTCCATTTCCTACAATCCTTCAATGGCTGTCACCTAGTGCAGTGATTCTCAATCTGGTTTTGAGATGAGCTACTCTTAAGCAGTAGCCCCAGATCTCTCTAACCACACAAGCTATATAGAGGACAGAATAAACAAATCCAAATAAGTGAAAGCCACGTGGACTCAATAACATTTAAAGTTATTCCTCCTCAAACAAGACCTCCAACCTCTTGCACAGATGCAATCCTCCACATTGCACATCCATACTACATACCCCCCAAATGTTTTTACAAACTGTTTTGACCATAATCCTTAATAAAAGAAATGTATACCACAAACAATACTAATAAAACAAAATTTAACCCTCCCCCAATTTATACTAAGTGTAATGTATTGATTGCTATTTCCTATTTCTTTTCTACTTTTAAAAAAGCATTAGTAGAAATGCACAAAATTGATTTCAAGACCAACTAATAGGTCTGCAAAACACCGCTGTAGAGACCAATAGTCCATATTTAACAATATGCTCTCATCTGGCAGGCCTAACCTATAATCGTGCTACCTTAAAATTCTACTCTGCAAAAGCACATTTTTTCTACATCAGTTTCATTGTACAATTAAATCATTTACAGTTTAAACTTAGTACATTAAACATATCCAAAGTTTTGTCTTAAAATTTAGTAAAATACATAAATGTTAAAATAAAAATTTTGAAACTCTAATAAAAAACTGAAGATAGCTTATTAGCTCCAAATGTGAAACATGGTTCTCAACTGGTAATTTAGTAGGTAACAATAATCTTTTGGCAAAATCCAGAGTAGAGTATACTGGGAATATGTATACCATCAAATTATAAGAAGTTTGAAACCAAAGAGCTCTACCACTATCTTCATTCTGGTTTTGTCATCTGACCACGCTCATTCATGAGACCTTGGAAACCACAGATCTAACTCTCCTCTCTAAGCTTTTTTTGGGAGGGGGGTGGGGGGGCATGCGTCCAAGTTGCTGTCAACTCTCTACAACTGCTTTAAGGTCTGTCAGGAATCCTACCTTGTCTCAAACTAGCTCAGAAGTTCTGGCATGGGCTTATTTAAGATTATTTCTATGGGGAAAATCCACAAATCTAAACAACCAATTTTATAACAAACTTCTGAAACATATCCGACTGATAACACTACCTTACGTGTAGTTACATACTGAATACCTTATCTCCAAAAGAAAACCAGAAACTAAAAATTCTTAACTAAATTACAAGTATACATCCTTTTTGTAAATTAAAATCTACTTGATAAACACAAAATGAATTTCTATAGTCAGGTACGAACTTCAATTCTGTAAACCTAACAGTACATGTGATATTTTAAATAACCGTATTAAGAAAACCTGGCTTCTCAATAAAAAGGAAAAAAAAGAGGACCAGGCTCCATCCATCCTGTTGTCCCATCACAGACTGACACAATGTTACCATATAAACCATCTATACAGCGTCCACATTTATTTCATAGTTCCACTCAACCCTCTCCTCCAGCCCCGCCCACTGAACAGCTGGGTGGGATGAAAGATTGTTTCCTGCCCTCCTCCTTTGCCCCTTCCCTTGCTATTTGGAGGAACAAGGAATCCAGGCAGCAGTAACTAACTTTGTAACTGTTTATATCCTGCTAAGGTACCATCCTTCAGTCTATCAGGATTCCATAAATTTCATTTCATCCCTATCTGTACACTTAATGCCTAAGAAGTTTCCCCTCAACTTGCTTATAAACTGGGTGTGTGTGTGTGTGTGTGCATGTATATAAGTATGTAAAGCAAGTAATATGCTTTTGAACCTAGACTACCTGGTTCATTTAGATCCTCAAGGGCACTCAATCGGATACTCTTCCCTTTTATAAAAATAAAAGCAAAAGAAATCTTAAAGTTGAACTATAACAATAAATTCGCAACAATGTTATTTCAGTAACTAAGCAAGCACCTGGATGCCACAAATTATTTCCTCACACTATAAAAACCCAGATTTGAAACAGTGTACTCTCACAATGTAACTCGGCAAATGAAAATGTGTTAGAACCATCTCAGTTGCTTATTTCCTCCTGTACACACAGTATGAAATGGAACTCGGCAGTGGAAAATGTGAATGGAATGGCCTTGCTCTTTTTCCAATACGTGGGGGAGGAAAGGAAATGAAAGGGCTTCTTAAGAGAGTAACTGAGCATACTGAAACATTTTCAAAAATTAATTCCCTTCAGCATCGCCAGGCCGTATCTCCAACAGGGTCCCTCCCTTTTCCAGCGACCCTTCCCACCCTTTTCCACTCCTCCGGAGGGCGCCCTTCCCAGACGTTCTTTCCCTTTTCTTAAAAATTAAGCCCAAATCAGGCTCCTTATCCTCCGCACTCAAGCCTGGCCCGCCATCCACCGGCCTCCGGGGCCGCGCCTGGGGAGAGGAAGCCCCGAGCGGCGGGCAGGGGCCGCGCTGCAGCCGCCGCCGCCTTCCCCGCAGCTGCAGCCCGGT